CCCCCCACCACAGCTGTGTCCGTCTGTGTGTCCCTGTTTGACGGTGTCTGTCTCTGTGTGCAATTTGGAGCGATAGAGAGGCTGTCTGGGGACTGTGTGTGTGTGTGTGTGTGTGTGTGTGTGTGTGTGATGGAGTGGGCCTGTCCCAGGGACTGCGGCTGTGTTTCCCAATACCTCCCCTCTCATGCCAGGCCTGTCCCCTCCCCCACAGGCCCCCCTTTTCTACACTCTCCATGTGTCTCTGTCCCCATGTGCCCCTCTTCCTGCCTCCAGGGGGTCTGTGCCTGTGTGGGGCAGGTGTGCTGAGCCCCGGCCGGCCGGGCTTCTGCACCGGGGAGCTGCATCTGCTTGTGTGTGCTACTTCTCAGCACGGGAAGGGGCTGCTTCCCCGCGTGGGGGGCCTCTGTGCAGGCCATGGAGAGACGCTTGGAGCCAGGGACATGGGGAGGGGCCCAGTACCCGAGGGGGTGCCTTGTACGGCAGCAAGCTCTGGGCTGTGGGATCCTGGGTGTGTGAGAGGCACCTCTGGGGTGGGGGTGGGGGTGGGGGTGGGGGGAGTGGATGCTGCTGCGGTCTCTGTGTGTGGGATCCGGAGAACAAGAGCTGGCCGCTGGGCTCCAGAGGCCACTCTGGGGTGGCCGAGGGATGGCCTGGGGGGGAGCATTGTGCGTGCTCCTGCAGGGCAGGTAGTCAGTCAGCAGTAGGAGCGCGGATGGGGCGTCGCGTGGGTAGCGAGTACTGGGGCAGGGGTGGGGGCAGGGGGTCTCCGTCGGAGGGTGGCCGAGGAGAATGGAACAGGGGAGAGTGGGGGACCCTGAAGTTGGGGGGAACAGGGGTGCTGGAGCAGAGAGGGTGCGTGGGGTGTGTGGGGAAACGGGGTGAAGAGGGAAAGGCAGGATCTGTGAGGAGGGTTTGGGGGTGGGGATCCAAGGCGGCACAGGGAGAGCACGGAGAGGATGCAGGGAATATAAATGAAATGCAGCTGCAAGTACCAGGAGGCGGAAGGGTGTGTGAGGAAGTGAGTTGAGGGTGCAGAAGTGGGAAGAGGCTTCCACAGATGAGAGTGCGGGGGACTCGGGAGTATGGGAGGGACCTGGGGTGCTGTAGGGGACACGGTGGGGTTGCCTCCTGAGGCGTGAGAAGACCTGGGAAGGGCGAGGCCAAGGGAGGGGGAGGGAGGTCCCGGAGGTCTGCGGAGGACCCTTTGGGGAAGGGGCTGGTGGGTGTGCAGAGGCCAAGTCGGAGGTGGAAGGGGTGGCCCCGTGGCGTGTGATGAGGGCTGACAGAAGCGAGAGCTAATGGGGGGGGGGGCTGGGACAACGTGGAGCTTTCAGATGGCGTGGAGGAGCAGGGGGCGAGGTGCAGAGGGGTGAAGGGGCACCCACAGGAGCCGAGGATGGGGGACATTGAGATGAGGGAAACTGTCGGGGCAACAGGACAGTTGGAAGGCTGGAGGAGGACGCGGTGGCACGGGGGAGACATCACGGTGGCCGGAGACTGGGTGAGAAAGTCACGGGAGTGGGGACAGAAAGGAGCACATACCGGATGGGGACGCTTGAGAGGGAGGGACAGAGGTGGCGTTGTGACGATCTGAGGGGGTTGGGACATCGCTGGGGTGTATGGGTTGCCTGTGAGGAATTCAGATCTTGGCTCTGACCCTTTTCCAGCTGGTGTGGTCTCGAGCATGTACTTCCCCGTGCCTCAGTTTCCTCGTTGATAAAATGGGAACAGTAACAGCCACCCCCGCCCAGGGGTGTTGTGAGGCAATGTGAATAAATAAATGTAAAATGCACCCAACGGCATCTGGCATTCAGCAATGGGTCACTGAGTGTCACTCACTGCCGTGCTACTGGCATAGCCTGGGATACGTTTCAGGCACTGAATGGGGGCGGGGTGGGGGGGAAGCTCCTGGCCAATTTGGGGCCGATGTACGTGTGTGGAGGTATTTGAGTGCAGTCGAGCGGGGGATGTTATACCTGCATTTACCCAGGTGTTTCCTTCTGTGTTTTTGAAGATTACTCACCGCGTGACCTTAGGCAAGTTACTTGACCTTTCTGTGCCACTCTTTCCTTGTCCATAAAGTGGAAATAGCACTTATGCCTGCCTCAGAGGCTGGCTGTGAGAGACACTTGAGTTATGTAGCCGTGAAGGGTTTCAGATACCGACTTGCACGTGGCCGGTCTTTCTTCCTGGGATATGATGGATATGGGAGTTTTATTGAATCACATTGGGGGCTGGGGGGTTTGAGGAGGGCTTATGTCTGGAGTGGCAGGATAACGGGGGGGTAAAAGAGGGATGCCGGGGGCCGGGGAGGGGTGTGGGAGATGTAGGGGTTGGTAGCAGGAACGGAAGGAGAAACGGCTGCCAGCGAGGGATGAAGGATGCGCACTGGTGGCTGCTGGGGACCTGGAGATCCGGAGCGGATATGGACGTAGCAAGGGCAGAAGGGCCCCGTGGAATTTGTCGGGCAGGGACGGCGGTGGGCGTCCCAGAGTGCACGGGCCGGAGCAAGGGAGCCCTGACCTCTGAACCAATTTCTGTGGGCCTTGGCCTCGACCCCTTCCTTCTGCCTCCCCTCGCTTCCCCTCTCCTCCCTCACTCCTCCGAAACCCCGTCCCTCCACTCTTCCCGCACCCCTTCCACCCTGCTACAAGGGCGACCTATCCGTGGCTTGAAGGGCAGATCAAGAAGACCCGATAGGTAGGGTGTGGCGCGTTTAATGGACCGTGGTGAACTTGGAGCGAGAGCGGTTGCTAGGCGTGTCTGCGTGTGCACACGCCTGTGCAGAACGCGGTCTCTGTGGTCCAGATGTATGGACGTGACAGCGACCGTGGAGGTCGTGGGGTCATGAGAGCGCACAGGGCTGCCGGTGTGGCGGGGGATGGTGCCGAAATACAGTAGGAGCACAGTGGGTATTATTGGCGTGTGCTGGGATGTGTTCAGGGGGCGGGTTATGGGAATATACTGAGATCCAAGTGAGGGGGAGTTATTATTGGAGCATACTGGGATGTGTGGGGGTGTTACCGAAACCTACTGGAGTATTCGTGGAGGGCTGTTTTGCCGAATCCGTGAGAGTCGCTGATTAAAGTGCGCGGGGAGCACGCTTATTGCTGGAGTGTGTTAGGGCTGATGGATTTTATTGGGATATACTGAGGGGTCTGCGTCTGTGCTGGACGGGTCTCAGACGTGACCACAGGCCGCCCGGGGTGCAGCGGGGCGTGCGTTCTGGCGGACTGAGGGTGTTCCTGGGGCTGCCGAGGGGAGTGGGGCTGGATCAGGGTGCTTGGGTATTTCCGCTGTATACTGGGGTTCCTGGAACGGAATGGATATGTCATCTTGAGGCACGCAGTGGTGATGCCAAGGCTTTGGGGCTGTTATCTGAGCGAGCCCAGGCAGGGGTTGAGATTCATGGAATATGTTTGGGTTTCATTGAGCTCTCCTGGGTATGTGACCATTACCTAAATGTGCTGACAGGCTTTGGTGGCGGTAGGGGACTATCCGCGTATTCACGGGTCGTTTGCATTTGCATTTTACTGGAATCTATCCAGCGCGTGAAGGAGATGCACTTGAGGTATACCAGGGAACAGAGAAGTCACTGTTGTGCGCTAGAACTTTCTCCAGTGATAGAAATGTTCTGTATCTGCACTGTCCTGCATGGTAACCACTGGCCACATGTGGCTACTGGGCACTTTGAAACGTGGCCAGTGAGACTGAGGAACTGAATTTCCCTGTTTGATCTTCATCTATTTTTAAATTTGTTTAAGTGTTTTTTTTTATTTATTTGGAGAGAGGGAGGGCGCGAGAGGGGGGTAGGGGCAGAGAGGGAGAGAGAATACCAGGCAGGCTCCACGGTCAGTGCGGAGCCTAACGCGGGGGCTCGATCTCACGGACCGTGAGATCGTGACCTGAGCCGAAATCAAGAGTCAGACGCTTAACCTCCTGAACCACCCAGGTCCCCTCTCAACTTAATTTTTAATGACTTTGCGTATAAATAGCCACATACATGTAGCAGCCACCATATTGCACCATGCTGAATAAGTGATGATACAACGTGCTTGGGTACCTGGGGAGGTGTTACTGTAGGATATATATAGTCAAGGAGTTGGGAGGGGTATCATGGAAGTACACGTGTCCTCTGGACCTAGTAACTCGACCAAAGGCATTGAAAGAATCCTACCCAGCGTGATTACTATGTGCCCGACACTGTGCTTCTTAACTATTTTGGTACTGAACTCCCACAGCGACCTCGTCTGGTAGGGCCTTTTATTGCCTCACATCGTAGACAAGGAAACTGAGGCCCAAAAATGTTAAAGTCTTGGGCTCAAGGTCACCGACAGGAAGTGGCTAGCAGGAGCTCAAAGCGGGCTGTCTGGTGATCTGGCGGCTCACCTCCCTGTCCCTCACGCTGTGCGGGCACACAGTGGGCTTGGTAGCTGCTTGCTGAATGGATGGGTGGATGGAGGCCTGGATGGATGAATGAGGAAAGGCTGAGTGGGAGAGCAAGCAGCCCGGGCTCTGAGGGGGAGGCCTGTCAGGGCTGCTGCAAGCAAACACTAGCGGAGTGGGTGAGGAAGATCCTCGGAGGGCGGGGGGGTGGGGGATGAATGGTTCTGGAGCAGGGGCTCAGGTCACCGGGTTGCTGATGGAGCACAGACTCCGTGTCTCATAATCCCTTCTCCACCCCCACCCCCCCCACCCCACCCCCCTTGCCAGCGATTACATCATTAAGGAGAAGACAGTCTTGCTGCAGAAGAAGGACAGTGAGGGGTTTGGGTTCGTGCTCCGGGGGGCCAAGGGTGAGTGCCGGCCGGGGAGGAGATGGGAGAAGGGCTCTCTGACCCAGGGGGATGGACAGGGGAAGGGACCCCAGCCCACCCACCACCCCACCCCAGGGTGCCGGTCCTTCAGCTACGATGAGGCCTCTGTGACTTGGGTCTGAGCCCCATCCCCTGCTCGGCCTCTCCACCCCCTCCCCTCCGACCCCGCCGGCTCCTCCCCATCTGCAGCGCAGACCCCCATCGAGGAGTTCACCCCCACCCCGGCCTTCCCGGCGCTGCAGTATCTGGAGTCCGTGGATGAGGGTGGCGTGGCATGGCGAGCTGGACTGCGGATGGGAGACTTCCTCATCGAGGTGAGTCCTGACCCCCGGCCCCAGGGGCCTTCCCAAGTGCCAGCCTCAGCACACCTTGCACAGATACTGCTTCCCCCTCCCCCCACGCTGGGAACCCTGGCAACGAATCCCCAGGCCCCTCCTGATTCACACCAGGATCTGGCTGCCCAAATGTAGACTCTTTTTGCACCAGGCCTCCCATCCCGCCAGCCTGCCCCCCAGCCAGCCTCCTCTTTCTCCAGGGGTTCCTTCTGAAGGCCTCTCTGAAGCATCTCAAAAGAAAACAGAGCTGTCCCCCGGTGCACGCGCGTGCACACACACACACACACACACACACACACACACATTGCAAGGGGGGGACAAGGAGGGAGAGAGAGGTGAATCGGGTGAGCCCAGCCCCTTAACCCTGGGGCCAGGAAAATTAGGGCCTTGTAAGGGGAAGGGGTGGGGGGGAGGGTCAAGGGGAGGGAGGAATGACCAACAGTGCTGTAAAGCGGGCAAAGCAGGAGGTCACTCAGCTGGGGACTCTGAAGCTGAAAGCATCCCTCGCCTCACCTGCTCTGTGTGGTTTGGGGGCATCTGTGCCACAGGTGAACGGGCAGAATGTGGTGAAGGTCGGCCACCGACAGGTGGTGAACATGATCCGCCAAGGGGGCAACACGCTGATGGTCAAGGTGGTGATGGTCACCAGGCACCCGGACATGGATGAGGCTGTCCATAAGAAAGGTGCTTCTCCTCCTCATTTGCGTGGCCAGACCTGGGCACCCCAATGCCACCAGACTAAGGTCCTCAGAAGCCCTAATGGCTTAATGGTCCCCACCACTGGCCTTCCCTTCCCCAGGGCTGCTTGTTTGTGACCCTTCCGGGGAGAAACTGAGGTGGGGAGGGCTCAGCATGCCGGTGGCAGCTGTCTCTGGTAGCACTGTAGTGGTGGTGGTGGTAGGGGGGGTGGGTCACAGGCCTTCTGTCCATGGTACTGATGCCTCGCCCCCCGCCATCACCTTCCAGCACCCCAGCAGGCAAAGCGGCTCCCGCCCCCAGCCATCTCTCTTCGTTCCAAGTCCATGACCTCAGAGCTGGAGGAGATGGGTGAGCCTGTGGGACTGCTGGGGTCCAGGCGCTGGGGAGGGAGAGGGGCAGAAGGGGGGCTGAACCAGACCTTGAGTTTGTTAGTGTTGTTAGTGACCAGGGGTCCTCGTCCTCAACCTGTCCCCCAGTCCATGGGTCAGACTCTCTGTGGCCTGCGTGTGTGTCGCTGGGAAGGGGCGTCTGAGAGTCGACTTTCCTCTGTCCTCTTATATCTGTTTCTCTGTCGAGTCTCTCTCTGGGTCTGCACGTCCCTCCCTACGGGTCCCTATTTCCTCTCTGGCTTCTCTCCACCTGCCCCACCTCACGCCCACTCCCATTCTCTATCTCTTCCTCTACCAGCTTCCCCACCCTCCCCCGACAGAAAGGAAGGCCAGCCCCTCCCCAGACAGGGCCGAGTGGACCTGGGGGGTCCCGTTTCCCCTGACAGGGGGCAGATCGGGCAGCTGACCACCCCCACCCTGAGGGAGGAGGGTGTTCCAGAGAGGGGGCCCCTCGCCTCCCCCTGAAGTCCTAACTCTTGGCTCCTCTACTGCCTCTCCCCCGGGCTAGTCTCCCCCTGGAAGAAGAAGAGTGGTGAGTGGGCACAGGACTGGCGGGGGGGCCCCCCCCCGTCCCCATCCCGCCGGCGGACTCGCCCCTCCCCGACCCGGGCCCTTCACTGCCCCACTCGCGCTTGCGCACGCCCGCTGGTCGCACCCGCTGGCCACGCCCACTGGCCGAGCCCGCTCCGCCCCGTCCCTCGGGGCGCCCCTGGACTTCATCCGCACCCTTTGCCCACAGAGTACGAGCAGCAGCCTCCGCCGGTGCCCAGCATGGAGAAAAAGCGGACCGTGTATCAGATGGCTCTCAGTAAGATGGCCCACCCCGGGCTCCTTGGGCTGCCCAGGACCCCTGACCCCACGCCCCCTGGGGTGCAGGAGCCATTCCGACCCTCTTCCCGCCTGCGCACCCTTTGGCCACTTCCGAGCTGAGCCGATCACCTCACACCCCGACCTTGCCCCAGCCGTCAAGTATGAGCTCCCACCCCTGTCCGCAGCCTCTCCCTCAACTTCCTCTTGCCCCACCCCCACCCCTCCACCTTCCCTCCTAGGACGACTGTCCTATTTGCTGCCCTCACCTCTTCCCACCGCTGGGCCCTGCCTTCTGGGCTGGAGACTGTGTCCATGGGGATGGGTGCCCTTTTCTGGTCCACACAAAACGTTGTCTGGGCTCCCGGCAGCTCCGTCTCTGGTGAGGCCAAAGCAAGCTTCATTGCATTGCCTCTTCCGCCTCCCCTTAGACAAACTGGATGAAATTTTGGCGGCAGCTCAGCAGACCATCAGCGCAAGCGAGAGTCCTGGACCTGGTGGCCTTGCGTCGCTGGGCAAACACCGGCCCAAAGGTTTCTTTGCCACCGAGGTAAGCTGCCTGCACTGGGGGATGGGAGCGTAGTGGTGAAGAGGCTGGGGGTGCACACGCCAACCTGGCACCTCTGTCCTGCTCCTTGCAAACCCTTCCTGGCCCCACTGTGTTTACCGTCGATCCAGGAGGGGCACTGCGCTTCCTGGGCCCCCTCCTTTCTCCCCATTCTGGGGGCTTCCTTTCCTCCCTGCCCATCCTCTTCCTGATTCTCCTCCTAAATCTTGCTTCCTGTTCCCTCACCCCCTGCTCCTCACGCTCTCTCCTCCATCTCTGTCCCACTCCAAGAGTCTCAGGGGAGGCAAAACGATGTCCTGGATGGCAGTCCCTGGCAGAGGCCCAGCACACGATAATAGGTGCTCAACAAGTGGGGGTTATTCAAATATTAATTATTAGCTCTGTCTCCGCTCTGCTTTTCCCTGTGACAGAGTGTCGTGGGCGTTGATCATATTTTGGACACTACATTTCACATGGGTTATCTCATTCATTTGTAGGATCGGTTATTAGCTCATTTCCAGAGGGGAAACTGAGGCTCAGAGAGGGAGGCAGTATTTCAACTGGATCCATGGCCCTGACTCTTCTGGTGGGCCTGCTGGTCCCTCAGCTGGCGGGCTTGTCATTGGGCCGCGCCCCTTCATGGGGCCACCAGCCCTGCTGGTGCCTCTTCCCACCCTCCAGACTCTCCTCCAAAGGTCACACACCACCCTTCCTCTCTCTTAGCGCTTCCTACTTTTCTGTGCTCAGGCCCTGCCCTCTGACCCTGACCTCTGAACCCCTCTTCCCATAGGCCGCACCCACCACTCGGTGGCCAACGGGCTATTTACTCTAAAACCAGATTCTCTGGCTTTTGGGGGACCACGGATCCCCCTTGGAAGGCTGGGATAGTCCTCAGAATAATGCTTATAAACATAAAATACATAAGGAAACAAAAGAAGCCAATTTCACTGATACTACAGTTATCAAAATATTTTTTTTTAAGTTCGTTTATTTATTTTGAGAGGCAGGAGAGGGGCAGAAGGAGGGACAGAGAGAGAGGATCCCAAGCAGGCTCCGCACTGTCCGCGCAGAGCCCAACGCGGGGCTTGAACTCACGAACCGTGAGATCATGACCTGAGCCAAAACCAAGAGTTGGACGCTTAACCGACTGAGCCACCCGGGCGCCCCTCAAAATATTTTGAAAAGCAAAATTCGTGGGGCGCCTGGCTGGCTCAGTCAGTCGAGCGTGCAATTCTTGATCTCAGGGTCACGAGTTCAAGCCCCACGTTGGGCCTAGAGCTTACTTACACACACACACACACACACACACGCACACGCACACACGCACACACGCACACAGTAAAAGCAAAACTTGTGATACAGTAATATTGGTGCCTTTTTGTCAACACATTAGCCACCAAGACCTCGTGATGGATCTTAACTCCTCTAACGTAAAAGTCATGAGGAGCATAAACACTATTTCAAGAAATCTGCAACCATGTGATGGGATATGGAAATATCCATGATTTCTATTGGGGATACAGTCACGGGTCTGGCCAAGACCAGCTCCGTTTGTTGCCTCCATCCCTCCCCTGAAGGTCAGCACAGAAGAGGCACACAAGCAGTCAAGCCAGGCAGACCTGCCTTCCAATCCTGACCTCCTCTGACTTCCTGTGTTGCTTGGACCACACTACTCCATTTCTCTGCATCTCAGTTTCCCGCTCCGCACAGTGGGGCTAAAGCCAATCTTGCGGGTCTTTGTGAGGATTGAATGAGATCAGCTCCTAGCACAGCAGGCTCTCAATAGACGCGGAGCCCTCTTAGGCCATAAAATAAACTGGAGACCCCACAACGACTTACCAGTGAGCCTTGCACGTGCCCCCCAGAGATCCTACAACGGCATCTCAGGTGCAGAGTCTCCAAAATACAGAGAGGGCGAGTCCCGTTTTCGTTTATACGACAAACGCGTGGCGTATCCACCAAGTGCCAGCCAGCCAGCATGCCAGCCCCTCCCCGTGTGAACCGTGGTTACGGCCAGACAAGATCCCAGCCCTCACAGAATTCACCATCTGAGCTCCAGAGACATCCCCCAGATGGGCCCAGACGTGGGCCAATAAGGTGGGGAGGGGGCGGTACTGAGGGACCTGCCGATGCCCACAGTGGGGGTGCAGACCCCAGGCAGGTCCACCGTAGGTCGGTCGAGGTGCCTCTTGGGCTGTCTCCTCCTAGGTTCTGCTGTCCATCCATCTGTCCTCCCCTCTGTGAGGCTTTGGCTATCTCAGCTGCTCTGTCTCTTGCCTGGTCACTGACTCCAAGGGGTCATCCCACTACTGTCCCCCCCTTCTGCCCAGTCTCTGTCTGGGTGCCAGTTTCAGCCTTTCTCTGGACTCCGTTTTCCCCCTGATTATTGTGACCGTACCCTTTTGGCCCCATTCTCTGACTCTTTGCCTCCTGGGGCCTGCCTGGCCCTCCCCGTCTCAGGGCCTCTCAGGACTGCCTCTCTTCCTGCTTTGTTGGGGCGCTCTCTCTTGCCATCGCTGTCTCATTTCCCCTCCTGCCCTCCCCCACCCCCCCCCCCCACCCCCCCGCTCTGATTCCCCATCTCCGTCTCTTTCTCCCCATCTGTCTGCCTTCGCCTGTCTCTGTCTCTCCGTCTGTCTCTCCCTCCGCTCTCTCCCCCGTCACCCCTTTCAGGGGCTGTCTCCCTGGCACTCGTTTCTCAGCCCATCTTCAGCCTCCAGCCTGGGCACGCACTCTGCCCTTGAGGCCCCAGACCCACCACCGGCCCACGAGGTGGCACAGGAGGAGGGCTGGACCTCTGGCGGAGCCGCTGGGGAGGAGTCTGCCCGCAGCCGGTGACGTCACGCGCACCCGGGCACTCTGATTGGCTGCCCCCGCTGCGCGGGAGGGGACGCTCCGCGTCCGTCGTTGGAGGTCAGCCTGTCCCACCTTGAGTCAGTGTGCCCCTCAGGCAGTCAGTCCAACCGCCTCCTCAGACCCTATTATGATTCCTCCATCAGTCTGGCGTCTCCTCTGCCACGCTGACCCCTTTTGTGTCAAGCTAACCCGTTATTTGATCCCTCCTCTTCCACTTAGAGGTGTCTTCTGTTCGCGTTCCAATCTGGCGCCTCTCCCTTCACTCTGCACTCTCTTCAGACAAAGGCACCCCTCCCCTGTCATTGTGAACCCCCTTTTGTCACTCTGCCCCCCCACCCCTCCCGACTCCCATGCTTCCTGCCAGATGCTTCCCTCACCTTCCTTCCCACCTCCCCATTATCCCTGGCTCGCCCTCCCCAGCCTGGACTCTGTATTCAGTGTCCTGTCCAGAACTGCTTCTGCCCCCCGTGGTCCCTGCATCCTTTCTGTCTGGGTGCTCCCCACCCCCCCCCCATCATTTTGCACACATTTACTGAGCACCCGGTATACCCTGGACCCACTGCTCAGCCCTGGGGATGCGGGAGTAAGCCAATCCAGGCCACTTCTATTAGAGAATTTACATTTGGGGGCAGGGGGTGGATTTGGCAGAATTGGGGTCCGCTACGTGTAAGAGAAACCCCGGAACAGCGGGGGCTGACAAGGCAAGTCCCGTCTCTGTGATATTGACGGAGGCTGGAGTAGGGAGTCCCAGGGGCAGGCGCCATGGTCACGAAGACCCAGGATCCTTCCCATTTTCTGCTGCACCATCCTGGCTTTCTTGCCAACCATGAGGTCACCTCACGGTCCAAGATGGCTGGCGGGCCAGCCGTGGCATCAGCCTTCCAGGCGGCAGGAACAAGGAAGAACGGAAAGGCAGAAAGGCAAAAGAGGGCGCGTTGTTGCTTCTGGGGTCACCTCTGAAGAGACCTCCCCAAAGAAACACGCAAGACTTCCACTCGTGCATCTGTGCAGGCCTCAGTTCCATGGCCACGCTCAGCTGCAAGGGAGTCTGGGAAATATAGTCTCAATAGGTGCTAAGGGAGATTTAAAAAAAATTTTTTTAATGTTTTACTTACTTTTGAGAGAGAAAGAGCGCAAGTCGGGGTGGGGGGGGCGGTCAGGCAGAGAGAGAAGGGGAGAATCTGAAGCAGGCTTCAGGCTCTGAGCTGTCAGCACAGAGCCCGACGTGGGGCTTGAACCCACGCACTGTGCCCAAGTTGGACGCTTAACTGACTGAGCCACCCAGGCGCCCCTGGGGTTTTCTTATCAAGGAAGAAGAGTAGAATGGGAATTGGGTAGGCTCCTTGCCCTGGGAGACAGACAATAAACAAAAAAGCAAATAATTATAATAACTCTACACTGGGATAAGTGGGTGCAGAGTGGTAAAAGGAATCCTCTCCAGGGAGACATCTGAAACTAATAGATCCCGTCCATCATCGCCCTTCTACAACCTGGCCGACTTCTTCTCCCACCCCTCAACACCCCCGCTCACCCGGTCCGTACATGTCGGCCTCCTGACTGTTCCTTGAGCACACCACACTCACTCCTACCTCAGGACATTTGCACTTCCTGTTCCGTCTGCCTGCAATACTCTTCCCCTGGCTGTATGCATGGCTCCCTTCCTCTGGGGTTTACTCAAATTACATCTTCACAGAAAGTCCTTCCTTGACTGCAGTACTTTATCTTATTTTTTTAAGTTTGTTTATTTTGAGAGAGAGAAAGAGAGAGAGAGGGGAAGGGGCAGAGAGAGAGGGAGAGAAAGAATCCCAAGCAGGCTCCGTGCTGTCAGCGCAAGCCCTGGGTTCATGCAGGGCTCGAACCCACGAACCACGAGATCATGACCTGATCTAAAATCAAGAGTTGGACGCTTAACCGAGGCACCCCTGCCCTATTTTAAATTACAGTCCCCCTCTCCTCCATTGCACACCTCCACCTGACCCACGTTATGTTACTAATTTATTTTGCCTGCCCTCCATGAAGGCAGGGACTTTTGTCGATTTTGTGTATGGCTGCATCTACAGCGTCTAGAACAGCCCCTGGCGTGGATCAGGTGCTCAATAAATACCTCTGGAATGAATGAATGAATGAATGAAACACAGAGGTAGATAGTTTCAATCCGGAGTGGTGAGCACAGTGAGAGTGTAGCTTAGGCGCACCCTATTAAGGTGTAGAGCTTTCTGTGATGAAGGAACTGTCCTACCTCTGTGCTGTCCCATATGGCAGCCATCAGCCATGTGTGACGATGGATCTTTTGAAATGACCAGCATGAGGGGCGCCTGGGTGGCGCAGTCGGTTAAGCGTCCGACTTCAGCCAGGTCACGATCTCGCGGTCCGTGAGCTCGAGCCCCGCGTCAGGCTCTGGACTGATGGCTCAGAGCCTGGAGCCTGTTTCCGATTCTGTGTCTCCCTCTCTCTCTGCCCCTCCCCCGTTCATGCTCTGTCTCTCTCTGTCCCAAAAATAAATAAAAACGTTGAAAAAAAGAAAAGAAAAGAAAAGAAATGACCAGCATGAATGGAAGAAAGGACTGTTTAATTATAAGTTATTTTAATTAATTAAAATTTACATCCAAAAGGGCGGTGGCTACTGTATTGGGCAATGTAGGTTTAGAGGAAGGGAGAGGCCAGGCCAGGGTGGGGACGAGGATGACAAGTTTCCCCAAGCAGAGCAGGGGGAAAGGATGTTTCAGGCAGAGGGAACAGCATATGTGGAGGCTCTGGGGTGAGAAACAGCACAGGAAATTCCAAGGTAGGGGGGAGTACTTAGAGGAAGGGGGCTGGAGGGAGTGCGATGGGAGGTGAGGGTAGGGACTTCATGCAAAAAGGGTTTCCTTTCTCTGCACTTCTGGTCTCAAAGCCAGAGAAGAGAGACATATGGGGTCACCCGGTGGAAGGAAGGGAGTCAGCGCTTGATGCTGGCTCACTGTCATTGAGTTACTCTTCGTGTGGCACAGGCTTGTAGAACATCAGGTCCTGTTTGGGGACTGGGGACCCAAAAGTGAACAAGACCAACAAAGTTGCTACCCTAACAGGCTGTGTTGGGACTTCCATGGGTCTTTGGCATTTGGGCCTTCACGAGCTCCTCCCCCTCCAACAAAAAGCCTTAAAATCTGTATTGTCTGGTTGTCTTGGTGCAAAGATAAATATTGTCATCCAGGCTGGATTCTATTCATCCCCCCTCCAACCTCTGGTTTTAAAGGAAATTGAACTATTTTCCCGCAAGGTATCCTGGGCCCCGGATTCTGTACCTGCGGTGCCTTCTGGGAGCTGACATTCTAGGCAGGGAGACGGAAAGCAAGCAAGTACCCAAATCCTTTCAGACGAGGATAAGCTCCAGAAGGACAACAGGACAGGGAGGCGCAGTGGACGGGGACTGGGAGGGACGTTTGAGTGGAGGACGTGAAGATGGAAAGGAACGTGTGGCGATGAGGAGGAAACCGTGGCAGAGACAAAAACCCCGGACTTGCAAGGGTTCTAAAGCGGGGATGGGCTTTGGGCCATTGGAGGGGCAGGCCGGGTGGCCACGGTGGGACCGGAATAACGAGGCAGGAGATGCAGGTGGGGCCAGGGTGTCCTGGGTACCTGGGTCTCCCGCAGTCGAAGCCTGACATAGGGATTTCTGCACCTCCAGCATCCTAAGGGGAAAGTTGCGAGGGAGTGAGGGAGGCAGGGTGGGCTGTGGAGGTCAGCAAACCCGGTCCCCGCTGGAGTCGCCTTCGGCCCGATTTCTACCAGAGCTTTGGAGCGTGCATGGCACGGGGAGTCAGGCCGGCCTTGGACCTCCGTGTCAGCCAGTCCTTGGCTGCAGGCCGCTCCCAGAGCTAGGGGGACGTGACTGCTTGGGCTCACCAGCTCCTCTGGAGGAGGGCCATATTTCAGAGCGAGGGGCAGCAGCTGAGAGCCCAGGCAGGTGACACAGCAGCTGGGGATGGTCACGGCACCTCAGCCAGGGGGATCTGGGTGCACACCCACAGTGTCTACCACAGATGACCCTGTAGACCAGAGTGGGGGATTCCGATCCCCTCCTAACTGATGG